GAGCAAGATCTCGTCCATGCTGCACTGCGTCCGGAAATCGTCATGACTGAAGAAGCTATTGCCGAGAGAATGCAAGCTCGGCTTCTGGATTTCTTAATGAAGCTACGGCCGGAATTTGAAGCCGTTCGTGCAACTCTCCTGAACCGGGATATTTTGCAATTTGACGGAGTGCTGGGGACGCTTGTCCGTGAGGAAACCCGCTTGCGGACACAGGCGCTGATCGATCTCCGGCCAGGTGAAGGAGAAGCGCTTGTCGCATCGGCCGCGGGACAAAATCGTCAAGGACCAAGTCAAGGAGCTTCTGCGTTTGCTATTGACCGCCCCCAATTCCAACGGAGGGTCCCAATTTCGGATTTAATATGCCACCATTGCAGGGAGAAGGGCCATTTACAGAAACACTGCCGCCGACGCAATTTTTGCGTGTATTGCAAACGTATGGGGCACATAATCCTTGATTGCCGGACGAAGGAACGGAACGAGGCACGTGAAGGAGCTGCTCGTGAAGGGAGTGCACATTCTGGCCGTGCCGCTCCTGCGTATCGCTCGGGGAATAATGACCGGGCTGTATATGGGGCGTATCCAACTGTGAATGACCCTCGTTGGCACTCCGCTGCTGAAGAATCACGCTGGCATACAGGGGCTCCTTCAGGCGATGCGAGCAGTAGCCGAAACACAGCTGGAGAAAACAGCACAGCTGCTAAAAATACTGGCGGGGTGACGGTTCAGACCGTCGAGCAGATCGTAAGTGCGGCAATAAGCGCTGCTTTTGCTACAATGCATGGTACAGGTAAATTTCGTGCACCTTGGCTTCTAGATTCGGCTTGCTATAATCATATGACCAGTAATTCGGGTGTGCTAAAAAATGTATTCCCTGTTCAAAATATCGATTTAACGGTGGCAAATGGTTCAAAATTAGAAGTTCAGGGGATGGGTGATGTGGTGAACAAAAGCATATCTCTGCATGATACTCTACATGTTCCTGCTCTTGTTCCTAATCTCGTTTCCGTTGGTCAACTTACTGAGCAAGGATGTACTGTATCGTTTGCTCCGTCTGGTTGTGTCATACAGGATTCGAAGACGGGGAGTCTGATCGGAAGGGGGAGTAAGCAGGGACGTCTTTTTCATCTCGAAGAATTACATGGGCATTCTGTTACTCCTGGTCTTCCGAGTCTTATGGTTAGGTCTGTCAGTAGTCCCTTGTCTTGTTCAGCAATTTCGAGTCAGTCAAATAAGCAGTGGGATCTGTGGCATGCTCGATTGGGGCATCCCCACTCAGCTCGTCTCCATGTCATGTTTCAAAAGTCTTTACTTGGTAAAACTCGTGTCAGTGTCCCCGAAAATCATTTTTGTACTAGCTGTGTTGAAGCTAAGACTGCCAGTATTTCATATCCTCCTAGCACTACTGTTATTCATGAACCCTTTGATGTGATACACACAGATCTTTGGGGACCTGCACCTGTTGTTTCTCGTCATGGTTTCCGTTATTTTGCTCTTTTTGTTGACCATGCCACTCGATATACCTGGATTTATCTTCTTCGATTAAAATCTGATCTTCGCTCTGTGGCACTTGAGTTCCTCAATATGGTCCAAACTCAATTCGGAAAACCTGTCAAAATTATCCGCTCTGATCCTGGTGGGGAGTTTAGCTCCTTTCCCTTGCGTGAGGTGTATCGATCCCGTGGTATTTTAAGTCAAAAATCTTGTCCCGGAGTTTCTCAACAAAATGGTCTCGTCGAACGTAAAAACCGACATGTTGTCGAGCTTACCAGAGCCTTATTACTAGCATCCTCAGTCCCTAGTCGTTTTTGGCCTGAAGCTGTTGTCACGGCAGTGAGGTTAATCAATTATCAAGTCACTCCGATCCTTGGCAATGAGAGTCCATTTTTTAAACTCTATTCACGTTCCCCGGACTACTCTCGCCTTCGTGTGTTTGGCTGCCTGTGTTTCGTTTTAATGCCCCGTCGTGAGCGTACTAAGCTAACCTCAAAAACAGCTCGGTGTGCTTTCATGGGGTACAGTGATGTTCATAAAGGGTACATGTGTTATGATCCAGTTTCTCAGCGTGTTCGTGTAGCTAGCACTGTTGTGTTCTTCGAACATATTCGGTTCTTTGAACCTTCCTCTAAGTCCGAGTCTATTTTTCCTCCAAATGGTTCGTTGCCCATGTTTTCTTTTGATGATGAGCCCTCTGCCGAAGTGAATGACATGCTGCCCCCTGATGATCTTGACTCCCCCAGCAGCTCCTCATCATCTAGCGCTAGCCCTTCAACACCTACAGGAAGCACCTCGTCATCTAGCGCTAGCACTTCCTCACCTACAGGAAGCACCTCGGCCATTTCCTCTCCTCCTCTTCGGCGCTCTACACGCATCAATAAGGGTATTCCCCCTGTTCATCATGGTGATTATATGGCATATGGTGTTACTTCTCTTGTCGTTCCTACCCGTTACAAGGATGCACAGGGAGATCCGGTTTGGGAGGAGGCGATGGAGAGTGAATTTGATGCTCATCACGCGAATAACACTTGGACTGTTGTTGATCGTCCTCCTAATGTACCGACGATAGGGAGCCGCTGGGTTTACGCAATTAAAATGCTTCCTGATGGAAGAATCGAGCGTCATAAAGCTCGTGTTGTTGCGTTAGGATATACACAGGAGCACGGGGTGGACTATCATGAGACATTTGCACCTGTGGCTCGGATGTCGACAGTACGGACTCTTCTTGCAGTTGCCTCTATGAAGAATTGGCCTCTAGCTCAACTTGATGTGAAGAATGCTTTTCTGCACGGTGATCTGGAAGAGGTTATATACATGGAGAAGCCACCTGGGTACAATGTCGGGGCTCCTGGTCAGGTATGCAGACTAAACCGATCCTTGTATGGTTTAAAACAGGCCCCCCGTGTCTGGTTTGAGACTTTTCAGTCTACTCTTCGTGAGCTTGGATGCAGCCAAAGTCTGAATGACCCGTCGTTGTTTGTCAAGGTCACACAAACGGGTATTGTTCTGCTTCTTTTGTACGTGGATGACATGATTATTACAGGGTCTGACATGGAGGGTATTCAACACTTGAAAGAGGGGTTACAGAAGGCCTACAGGATCAAGGATTTAGGAGACTTATCCTACTTCCTCGGGTTAGAAGTCTCTCGCAATAAGGAAGGTATCTTGCTCAGCCAAAAGAAATATATTGTTGATCTATTAAGTGACCATAATATGGAAGTTTGCAAGCCTGTCAATACTCCCATGGAGTGTAATTTGAGACTGAGCCGGGATTCAGGCGAGAAGGTTAGGGATGGATCACAGTATCGGAGTATAGTCGGGAGCTTAATCTACTTATCAGCAACTCGACCTGATATTTCTTATGCCGTACAGGTGGTCAGTCAATATATGGGGGATCCTCGAGCTGAACATTTAGCTGCAGTATATCGTATACTGCGTTATTTGCAGGGTACGAAGGAAGTGGGCATATACTTTCCTTCTACAGGTACTACTACCTTGAGAGCTTATTCCGACTCTGATTATGGTGGGTGCGTGGACACCAGACGATCTACTACAGGGTGGTGTGTTCAGTTTGGGAATTCATTTATTTCATGGCGGTGCAAAAAGCAGGATAAAGTTTCAAAATCATCGACTGAAGCTGAATACAGGGCAATGTCTGATGTTGCTTCTGAACTGACGTGGCTAAGGCGGCTACTTACTGATATGGGCGTGAATTGCTCAAGTCCCATGGATTTATTTGTGGATAATACGAGTGCAATCCGCATAGCAGAGAATCCAGTGTTGCATGATCGTACAAAGCACATAGAGATACATGTGCATTATATACGAGATGAAGTACGAGATGGTTCGATTGCACTACATTACATACGTACTGATGATCAAGTTGCAGACCTCTTCACAAAGGCGTTCACGAGCAGTCGGCACCGATTTCTGTTTGACAAATTGATGCTCTTGACCCGGCATCAATTTGGGGGAGGCTGTTAAGTATATAGACTGCAGTTATTATATGTTTAGTACGTACATATGTAGTAATGGGCCAGTAGAGTCTTAATTGTCATTAAGCCCATGCAACCTAGTTTAGCCCACGTAGTAAAGAGTTAATCGTGGAGAGCTAGGGTTTGGCAGAGGTAGGGTATTAGTAGTGCAGCTTGCGTTCCTGTATCACACAATTATCCTCAGTAAGATCAGTAGCCGAAGAGTGTTCTCGCTCTTCCGTGGATTAGTCCTGGAATTCCAGGGATACCACGTAAATCGTGTTTGTTCTCTGTTTCATTTCCGAACTGTTAGTTAGATTATCAGAGTTAATCATTAGATTAAGATTAAAATGAAGTGTCTTGATTATATAGTAAAGTGATTAATACCTTTCCCACTTAGTCACCAAATCTTTCTCCATGAAGTCTATATGGGTTCACGTATTTTTGTGGACAAATTTAGGTAGGGAATGAATATTTCTTGTCAAAAATTACTTCTATATTGTCATAGGCGGAGAGAGGGGTGTTTGCCACTGTCCCGGACAGGGGTAACTTTTGGAGAGGGAAAAAATAACCCTACATATATTTGTACCGATCGAATTAAACACTTACAAGTAACATAAAGATGTTTTAACATTACAACATAACTCATTATTTGTTCATTAATTCACAAAAAATAATTAAATTATTGGTTTCATTCATGACACTATCATTTCACAACAGCTCGTTAGGTATTATCATGATATTATGGTGAAACAATGAATGTATTTTATATTTCTTTCATAATATGAAAACTCGTCCTGGTTATTTATGAAACAATAATTGTATTAGTCAATTTTTTGTTTCCTTATGAATGAGTTATTTTTGCATTATTAGTTTTAATTATATTTATAAATATTATATATATTCTTAATAAAGGATAGAGGTAGTTTGAAAACCTGCCTCCTCCACGGTATATTATTGTTGTCATTCGCGGTGATAATTACAACTACACATAAAAGTTGGACTTGTTAGTAAAAGTTTTAAAATGTAGGCATTAAATAGTGAAATTCATTAAGCTCGTGTGCTAAACTATAACTTTAAAATGAGTATGATAAAAACCCAAATCCATATATTAAAAATCCAACTCAATCAACCTAACTAAGCAAGAGTTACATTTGGTTTTTAAGTAAATACCTAAGATTTTAGCCAAAATTGTCATCCCTTCCCTCTCAATTGTGGCGAGAGAGGGAGGATGCTTTCGAGGAAGTTTGGTGAAAGTGTAAATTCATACATATGAGATCTTAATATTTTGAGCTCAGTTGAACAGAATTTTACATAATTTTCTTAACCAGTACAACTAGGTACTTGTTAAAGAGATGATTAGGATTAAGATATCTATTCATCAAGGCTGAAAAAATTCATCATCCAACTGAAACCAAATTTTGCAGAAATTGCCCAAACAGGAGGAAGTATCTATCGATCTAGAGTCGGGCAATTTGGATGGATTTCTGGAGGGCCTCGATGAGGTTTCTCATGATTCTGGGCTCACCGGGTGGAGTTTCATTTTTCCGCCGCCCGTTCCTTATGGCTCTGAAAATCGGGCCGGAACTCTCCGTCGCCGGGAAAACCAGGCAGTCTATGTACACTGCAACATCCGTCTCCCCGCCATCTTCAATGGTGATGAACCCCAACCTTGCCCCTCCCGCTACTTTGTCTACCTAATTGTTCGTAATCAAATCAAAACTACGACATATATGGAGCCGAATTCAACAAACCACGGCATGGAGGAAATTGAACAGACCTTGAGTGGCACGGGAAATGGCAGATTGGCACCCTGAGAAAGACTGTTCCCCCACTGTTGCCAAAAACCGCAGCTTGAGCTTTAATGGGTCGAGTTACTGATTATTAACGAAGTAACAATGCGAGAGAGGGAGGGAGAGAGAGGGAACCTGGAAGAGCAAGAGTTCAAATCTGTCGAGATCGGTGTTCCCTGGCAGTTTGAAGGTACCCAGCAAGACCCCGTCTTCTCCATCGTCATCGGAAGCCACGATGCCGCCGTTTCCCTTTGAGGATTTGACGACGGCTGTCCGGTTGTGGAGGCTATGAATTCGGCTTACCCCAAAGCTCCGTTTGTTGTTCGTTACGGTGATTGATAATGGGGATTGAGTCCGCAGGGGAGGAGTGAGTTTCACGTTGGAAGTTGTTGTGGGATAGATGAGTTGCCTCAGAGCACAAGAAGCCATTGCTGCCGCCAAAAGGTGTACTGAATGGCGGAAGACGGAAGCGAATGGCGGATTGAATGTGGTTGAGGGGAGAGACTAGTGGGTTTGGAATTGGATAACGCTTCCTCGCTATTTTGAGAGGCCAGTAAGAGTCCGCATTCCACCAAGGGGAAAATTTAAAACCACTAGACTTCAGCGCAAAACAGTACTAATCTCAGTAAAGTCAGTGTTTTAGAAACTCCATCGTACCGAATGTCGGACTCAAACCAATAAGTAATCTTAGAGATAAAAAAAACAGTTGATCCGGTGTGGTTTTCAGACTAGTTTCCATTACAAAAAATGAAAAGAATCAACACAAGTAAAAAAAATATCCACAAATACAAGGGGGGAAAGCTGTAGTATTAGAAAAACGTTTCATGCATGGTCTACAATTCATAAAATTTAAGTTGTGGTGACAGCTGAGATTATATACACAAGTAAAAGCTCTAACAATCCAACTAATTGTTACAATATGAAAAGTACGGTTACAGCAGTAATGAACAAACTATACGGAACAAGCTTCAAGCTTAGGAAGGAGACTCCGCCAAGCATCTGCAATACTATTAGCAAGTCGTGCCTGTCCCTTGGCAAATTCATGGAATGCTCTTCCCATGTCGATCGTCTTCTGATCTTGGAAACGTACAATCTCTTCACTCATTAGTCGGACAATGCTCTCAAATCTTCTTGCAGCTTCTTCGCTATCTGCCTTCAGCTGAATCAGGATGGCGAGATCTTTGTTAGATATAGGCCGAAACACTTGAGAGAATTCAAAACGAAAGATTAGGACAGTTCGATGCTTACCTCTCTGTACTCGATTTCAGCTTCCCCCACTCTGTCGGATCGTGTCAGCATAAGCTTGTCGCTGCAGAGTGTAGAGAAGAACGCTATTAGAACATGTCACTATCAAGTCATGCCACAGCTAATAAGATTAATCCAGCTAAAAAGAGAAGCGCATACAGATTTATCTCCTTCAACTTCATTGTTTCAGCCAGTTCACATTGTTGCCTAAATGCATTGGCCCTTTCAGCAATAGTTTCCTGTCCAAATAATGCAAAGCAGCAGGATGATCAGTTTCCATAAAGTATTAAGGATTGAATTGAAAGCATACATAAAGCCACCTAAAGGGGAGTGCAAGCGCAAGAGCACCAACCTTAATTGACTGCACAGCACGGACATAATCTTTCAAAGGTTCTTCAAAATTCATTAGGAGTTGATGGGCCTGCATGTGCGTGAAGACACGGATCAATAAACTCATTACTCTTAGGCCAAAACAGCACAAGAAAGATGAGCTCAACGTCAACTCCAAGACTTGCCTCCTTTTGTAGCCGGATTGATAATGCCTCAGATTTAGCCCCAAGCTCTGTTAGTGCTTTCCCAAGACCATTCGATTCGCAAGCACCAAGTAACTTAGCAGCCTTCCCGAAATCCGATAGAGATTGTCCCAGCTCTGAGTAAAGAAATTATCCAATACAAATTGCTTACTTCCCGAGGAAACATCAGATCAGAAACAATCAAACTGCATTCCTACAACAGTTCGATGACACATATGCACCTAACAAGTTACCTCTGTGGCGCTTCACAAGACGATATGCATGTTTTTGAGCCTCAGCCAAGTGGTTTTCAAGCTCAAAGATGTAATGCTTCAGCTTTTCATAGTCAGGATTTGATTCTTCAACTGGTTTTTCTTTCCCCAGCACGACATCACTTACTCTAGATTGCACATCCTGTAAAATCGGTTAGAACAATTTTCCCATATCATACATTCAGTAAACTGTTCAATGCTAGAATTGGCACAAAACTAGAAGCATTCAGATTAGGAAGTATAAACAAAGAATATGGTGACACAACTCCAACAGTTTGCCTGTCAGCTTAAGTAGTCAGTAAATAGATTTACAGGGACGTAGTCAACGAAACACTGGAAGTATATCTTCATATTCATCACCAACTGGTTTGTGCGAGTAAATGAGAAACAATTCATTGTACCTTGAATATTTGCAACAAATCTGCTGGCTTCTTCTTAAAATAGCTCGACTCGTGAGACCTTAATCTTTCCATTGTCTGAAAGAGTATGCATCATATAAATTAAATTTTGTTGGTACATTTTCAGATTAGGTCACATTGTAAATGAGGCTGGACTGTCACATTAGACTAAATAGTCTATAAGCCCACAAACAAAGATTATCACCTCTTCCTCTGCCTGCAAAAAGGTTTTCAGATCCTCACTTTGCTGAAGTTCCTGGTGTGAGGCTATCCGGTTAACAAATACATCCAATGCTTGACGCCTCATTTCAATAAATTCAGCGCTGAAGCGGAACTTTTCTGTCATTTAAGTGCTATCATTAGTACTTTCTATAACCAAGTTCCAAATACTAATAAATAATCCAGATAATCACCATTCTCTTACATAGTAAGTTTGGGAAACCCAACACTAGTGTGCTAGAAAATTCGCTACATCACTCAAGAAACTTCTTCATCCCCAGATGGGTTCCGTTGCCAACATAGAAAGATTATAAATTTCCTTAACTCAAAGAGACTAAGCCGAGGGCGTGAAAATTATAAACCTAAAAAGAACAAGGACTAGATCCATTCTAAAACTCTTTCGTAAAAGGAAGACGCAAAATTGAGGTAACATGTCTATATAATCTATTGTTGCACTAGCAACAAAAGTAGCTTAAATGGAAGAAACACAAACCTAGAGCAGTTACAGTCACTTACTATATGCTGGTATGCTGATATTTAGAAAACAGAAGCCAGAACAATGTGAAAGCCAGAAATTTCTGAACTCTTACCTACAGCACTCTTCTCTGGTAGAGGAGGAATGAAAACTCCTTTATACTTCTCAAAGAGACGATCATGTAACCACACAAAATCACTGTACCGCCGAATGACAATCTTTTCAGGTCCTTGGTAGTCAGGCAGATTCGTCTGCCAGGAGAATGAAAAAGTGCACATTAGACTAGTTTGCCATTTTTGGCAATGAACATTGAAACAATCTGAAATAATGCCACAGACAGATACCCAGAAACCTATATCATCCACAGGGCGTCGAAGAAGAAAGAAATCAGTTGATTGTGAAGAACAAGATGTCAATTATGTGCATAACACCATTGTAGGAACCAACAAAAACCCCCCACTATCACAATCCGAGATACATAGATTGCGTAACACTTCCTCTACCATGTACATCACTTGTAGCTATTGGCAGAATTGACACGAATCAAGTTGAAGCAACAGACACAGTTAGACTGAATCGTTATTCGTTACAAATCCATCATAACTTCACCATCCGTCTGCTTTAGCTCATTTTACCGAACATAATCTATGTCATTCGTAGAGATCTATGAAACACAAGGAAAGCTACACATATCCCTCTCCAGATGTCCAAGGAAAGCAATTGACAAATTGGTTGGCCAGCCACTGCGATCAGCAGAACGGTAATCTAACCATAAGTGATTGCTCGAGAATTTGAAGGATTGATTATTTACCTTGGTAATGACTCGATACGAGATGTAAGACTGAACGCCATTGCCCAACTTCACGGGATCGGTGACGGAAACCGATAAGTAAGGTTGCGACGAGGGAGATCGAGGGCTGTGGGAGTAGCCGGAGGAGCTCCTCTGCTGCTGGTCCATCTCGCATCCGAAGAGAAAAGCGGTAAGAAACGAATGCCTCGCCTAATCGGCAAAAAATAGGTTTGAGGCAAATCCAGGAGAAAAAGTGGGGGCAATGGCACATTCGTAATTTACCGCGGTCATCATGGCCTAATGCATAAGCTGCTTTTTTAAGCTACTGCTTGGCGAAGCCGGTCGTCGGCACTCGGATGCGCGGCGCAAGGGGTTGGTTTACTTTTGGACATGCTTCGTTTGCTCTGCTTTTCTTCTTCGGACACATTTGGCATGGTGCTAGGACCTTGTTCAGAGACGTTTTTGCTGGTATTGATCCAGATTTAGATGCTCTTGCGGAAAAGTGACGAGGCAGCCGGCGATGAGTAGCGGCCGGAGCTACTCTAGAAGAGTAAAAGATAGTAATAAACTTCTAACTTCTTGTTCTAAAGGAAAAAGGGTTTCTGCTAGCTCACATTTTAGTTTTTACGCAAGTTTAATAGTGTGATTATGAAACACCAATTAATTTTGTCACAAAAAAGAAAACAACACTTAATTTCAATCTTTGTTAGTAGTTATATTTAACTAATACTCATGAACTAGAAACTACTACACAAAATTTCATTCCGCAGATTATTATGGTAGAAAGAGTTGCATGATATTAGAATAATGTATGGGTGGAGGTTAATATATTAAACGCCTCGTCAGGCAGGTTACTAAATTGCAATACTTCGAGTCTTTGAGATTTGTATCGATTGAAATATTCACATATTATTGGGAGCTATTCCATATGCTTATTCCACTCACATCAATCAATTAGAGCAAACTATAACGTCTATATTGATAGAACATTGCTTTTTTTCCCCAATCATTTTGAGAACATTTGAAATCTTTAACATTTCCGTTTAGTTCATCCATTTTTTTTTGCCATAGATAGATCGTAAATAGATAGGGTGTTACAATTCTTGAAAATTAAAGGCGGTAGTCAACCTAGTGTTGAGCTACCGATGCAAGGGCCGTTTTTGCCACTCAATGGGCAGCCCTGTTAGTATGCTTAGAACCATAAATAAACGAAAAAAACACAAAATAAGTCATCCTTCGACAAACTTCTTGATGCACCCATCCGCCAAGTAGAGCCTTCATATCTCCTATGAGTCAAGCTTCAATAGGCCAACAGTAGAGTTGATGTACAAGCTACCTGCAAGATGAACACACAAACGACCCCTAACGGAGCAAAGCAAATTTCAAGTACCAACGGACCTCTACCAAAGATGCTCCACAAGCTCTATGAACTACTCCGCATGCTGTGAAGTTGTCGGAGAACGATGGAACGAATCCCTATAGAGAAGCCTTGTCGGTGATGGTACCAAACAGTCGCACGAAGACGAAAGCGGCGAGATTGGAGAAAACCGACGAAAGAGGGCACCAAACCTTATTTTCTAAAAGAGTTTGAAATTATAATTGAAAACAAATAATAATAAAAAAGGGAAGTGGGGGGGAGTTAGTAAAATTTATTGAGCAAAAGAAATGTAGAAAGTGGCAAACTCAATCAAATAA